TGACTGAGGCAACAACTCTTCCATCTCTAACAGGAGATGCCAGGCACTGAGCAGAGGACTCTTAAACTGGACACCCAGAAAGATACTAAATTCTGTGAGACTTAAACATACACTTAGGCGGAGTAAGTTCTATTGAATTTGTGGGGAATGACTTCTGAGTAAACATGCATAGGATCATGCCATTTCACTTTTGTTCAACTGCAGCACTGATGGGACATGTATACAAATGCATGTGAAACAGGCCTAACTGCCACTTTTCCGAAAGAAAAGCAGCTTCGCGAGGGAGTCATTTTGAGCAGAGAAGCAGCATAAAGAGGTGTTGCTTAACCCTTCCCCTGAGACGCTACTCTGCCCAAGTTGCTTCTGCTCCCACTGGAGTGCCCAAGGCAGGCAGACAAGATGTGCCGGGATACTATGGGGGGAAAGCAGCTTGGTAGGGTGAAAATGGAGGAGAAAATAACTGGCTGAGGAAATTTTTTAGCACCCCATCCCCACCCTCTGTTTCTCTGCCCAAAACAGCCCCCTTCTGAGGCTGTGTTAGTTTGGAAAAGTTGCCATAGGGACTGAGCTACACACATTTGCATGTGATGTGAATTATGACCTCAGTTATTTGGTTCCATCAGATCTGGCAGAGGGAAGTCAAACTAGGTGCTTCTGTGCACAGCAGTGGATCCCTTTCAAAGCCTCCCATTCCACAGACTACTTCATGCCAGCCCCACCAATTCAACAAGGCCAAACGATGAATCACTGATTCTGCTTTTGGTTGATGAATCATACCATTAACCTGTTAAAGCTTGCAGCGCTTAAAAAAATTACCCAATCACCATCATTTACATAAGAGTTGTACAAGCTGGGTCTAAAACAGATATTTTTTTAATTTAAAAAAAATAAAAATGCAATTAAAATTTATAAATTGATTGTCTCTACAATTAAAAAACAAACAGCATAGCAAAAACCCAACTAAACCACACTATGTATCACTAAGAACACAGAAATGTTACCACCAGAAAAGATGGAGATCTGCATAAAAATTGCACGTGCTGTTTTATATCCATAGATGCAAATTTTCAAATCATGGCTATAATTTAAATAGAAATATAATTCATCTCACAGGGGATGGTTGTAACCAGATGTCCTCTGCTGATCAGATGCTGCTGCCTGCGGATAGGGAACTTTAAGGAACTTGCAGGTCTCCCTTCTTATGCTATTTAAACCAGACATGAGTTGGGACAGCACTTCAGCTACAACAGGCCTTCAAATAAAGGGCTGTTTTTTTCCTGACAATAGCAGAACTCCGAAACTGCATTGCAGACAGAGAGAAAATGGGTAGGTTGGTAGGACTAGGATAATTACAGAGAAGTATGGTTCATAACATCACAGATAATTCCAATCTTTCTAAATCAGAATCAACATTCCAATAACTTGTTTTATTTTATTTTTGCCACTTCTGCATTATTTAGGTGAACCTCTAAAATTAAAATTTGGAACAACTCAGCAAGGGATTCGGAACAACTTAGCACCTTCAAATCTGGAACCACATGGGTGTCTCTGTGGTCTAAACCACTGAGCCTCTTGGGCTTGCTGAGCAGAAGTTTGAATCTCTGCGATGGGGTGAGGTCCCGTTGCTCGGTCCCAGCTCCTGCCAACCTAGCAGTTCGAAAGCATGCCAAAAAGTGCAAGTAGATAAATAGGTACTGCTCTGGCAGGAAGGTAAACGGCATTTTCGTGCGCTGTTCTGGTTTTGCCATGCTGGCCACATGACCCGGAAAAACTGTCTGCGGACAAACACTGGCTCCCTCGGCCTGTAAAGCAAAATGAGCGCCGCAACCCCAGAGTCTGCAACTGGACTTAACTGTCAGGGGTCCTTTACCTTTACCTTTTAGATGCAAATTTAAAAACGATTGCTATAAAGGAAACGTCTCCTATAAAGGAAGCATCTCATCACAGTAGGAAGGACTGTGACCAGGTGACCTTCTCTGGGCCTACTCTCCAGGTGCCATGAATATGTAACTTCTGTGTCTCTGCTCTCCCCTCTTCTAGGTACCTACCTTTAAATCAGACTTGCTCCAAGCAGCCTTTCAAATTGAGGACTGTAAAACAGGCAACACTGGCCACTTTAATGAATAGGCCCTCAGTGGGCACTTTGTCTAGGGAGCAGGCCCCGGTGAGAAACAACCACCAAGTCTTCTCCTTGAGCACTACATTCCCGGCACTTGGATATATTTGCCCAATAAATTCTATTCAGTCTATGAGGGGAAAGATTACTGTGGTGGCTGGTGGAGCAGAATGCAGGGAGCCCAAACAACAGGTAGAGCCAGAGGCAGTGAGAGGCAGGAGGCTACACCTTTAAAGCACATCTGAAGCATGTTCTTTCCCTCAAAGAATTCTGGGCACTGTAGTTTACCCCTCACAGAGTGATACTTCCCAGCAACTCTTCACAAACTACTGTTCCCAGAATTCTCTGAGGGGTCAAATGTGCTTTGAATGTGCTTTGAAGGTATCTAGTGTGTAAAGGTAAAGGTAAAGGTACCCCTGCCCGTACGGGCCAGTCGTGTCCGACTCTAGGGTTGTGCGCTTATCTCACTTAAGAGGCCGGGAGCCAGCGCTGTCCGGAGACACTTCCGGGTCACGTGTCTAGCGTGACGAAGCTGCTCTGGCGAGCCAGCACCAGCGCAGCACATGGAAACAGTACCTATGGTGTATGGTGGCCTAATTCTAGCTTTGTTCCCATCTTTGTTCCCTGTTGTGTTCTACAACAACAAAGCAGCCCAAGCCTGTACGAAAGGAGGCTCCATTTGCCCTAACAGACCAGCCTCACTGGCAAGATATTCCTTCTCCCTCTCCCTCTGTCTATGTGGCAATTGTGCAGGTTGGTGGGTGATGAGCATGAGCAGGAAGGCATAGGAGTTTTGGTGGTGCAGGATGAGGGCAAAGTGAAAACCAGCCTCACTTCTCAGCTCCTTTCCATTTCCTCGAATCCACCCAGCTCTTGCAAGTTCTCAGCGAGTAAAAAAGAAACAGGAAAAGATTGGTGGCTTAGAGTTTTTGTGTGCATATGTGTATATATGTGTGTGTGCTCAAAGAGTCTGAAGTCTCAGAAAGAGCATCCTGTCTCAGAGTGTGGTTGCGGAGGTGGGCAGGACGACGAAGAGGGGATGTGGTCAAGCTGTGGGGTGGTTGAGAGCTACCTCTTGAAGAGGAAGCGTTGATGAAATGAAACTTCATCAAAGAGCTTCTGATTTGCCAGATTCCCAAGGTTTAACTTTTTTTAAAAATAAATAAAATGCTAGCTAGATGCCCGTCAGCATCAATGCAAGAGGAAGGCATGGTAAAGACTCAGCGGCAGAGCATTAATCCAGATTTAATCTCTAGGTAGAGTTGGGAATAACTCCTGTCTAAAATCCTGGTTTGCTGTGGTGGAATCAATACAGTGGTACCTCGCAAGACGAATGCCTCGCAAGACAAAAAACTTGCTAGACGAAAGGGTTTTTTGTTTTTTGAGCTGCTTCGCAAGACGATTTTCCCTATGGGCTTGCTTCGCAAGACGGAAACGTCTTGCAAGTTTGTTTCCTTTTTCTTAACACCGTTAATACAGTTGCGACTTGACTTCGAGGAGCAACTCATAGTGTGGTAGCCTTTTTTGAGGTTTTTAAAGACTTTGGTGATTTTTGAAGCTTTTCCAAAACTTTCCCGACACTGTGCTTCGCAAGACGAAAAAAATCGCAAGACGACAAAACTCGCGGAACGAATTAATTTCGTCTTGCGAGGCACCACTGTATAGACAAGAGGTTTAATACCTCTCTCAAGGCAAATCTTAAAAAAATGTAGTCTAAACACCAACAACTGGGAAACACTGGCCTGCAAGCGCTCCGATTGGAAAACAGCGTTTACCAAAGGCTTTGAAGACGCTCAAACTCAGGACGAAAGGGAGAAATGTGCTAAGAGGAAGGCACGCTTGGCAAACCCTCACCATGATCAACTCCCGCCCGGAGTATATCCCCACTGTGGAAGGACACATGGATTCAGAATTGGCCTCCACAGTCATTTATGGACTCACTGTTAAAACCGTGTTTATGGAAGACAATCTTACTCGGCTACGAGTGATCACCAAAGAAGAAGAGATGTTGGACTGGCTCCCTCAATATAAGCTCCTAAGGTCTGCATATTGCAGGGGACCCCCTTGACACACTGTGTATGCATCCCTCTTTCGCCAAATGAGATTCCCAAAGAGTAGATCAGTGCCATGCACCACCTACAACATGGTCCCCCAGCACAGAATTCCACTTTTCTCCATAGGAATACATTGCAACCATCAAAAGCTGGGCTTTCCACTGGAATAGTACCTATGTCTGCCACCTGCCTGGCAGCCCGTGGGATTAGGAGGAAAAGGATGTGTCCCTTCTCACCTGTGTATTGCAGCCAGTTTAGTTGTTTCTCAGATAACTCAGCGGGAACCCTGGAAGACGGAACCAGCCCCCAAGAGCAGAGCCCCGCCCCTTCATCTGCATAGCTCCACCCCAGATTCCTCAAAATGGTACTAAAAAGCAAGTATTATTTGTCCTATAATGATAGTCTGTGCAAAAACAATGCATTTTGGTAGACGACAACCTTCCATGCTATTTTTCTTTCTTTCTTTTAATGTTTTGAACGTTTTTATTACAAACAAAAATGGTCAAACAAACATCACATCACAACAAAGCATGTCCCATCAAGAAATATACAATAAATGATGTGTGTTTTGATGAGTTCATTGCCTATTTTAACTGTTTTAAATAGTTGCTTTAAACTGTTTTTTTTTATTAATTTGTAAGCTTATTTGGGGTTTCTTACAAATTTTATGAAGCAAATAAATATCACAGACCTTCATTTCTTTTGAAGAAGAGTAGGCTATTAAGGTTGCAATCCTATATCCTCTTGCCTTTGGGAGTTCTTTTGGGTAGCCATGTATACAGACTGGTAAACAACTGTTTGACTTTTAGAAGACATTTGAAGGCAGTTCGGGGAATTTTTTAAGGGTTGATGTTTTATTATGCTTTTAATACCTTCTTGGGAGCTGCCCAGAGCAGCTAAGGCAACCTGGTCAAATGGGTGGCACATAAATAATAAAAATGTTGTTGTTGTTGTCGTTATACAATTGTACTGCAAATTACAACAATTTCAAAGTGTTCAGAGCATTTCACATACAATCATCTCAGCAATCACCACAACGGTATGGTACGGTAGACCAATACTGCTAACCACCATACGCCACATCCTGCAGATGGAGAACTGGGGTGGAGAGAGGAGTAGACAGTAGCTCTCCTGAGGCTACCTGGTGCCAGTTCCTGTCTGGGAATTGAGATCCAGAGGTCCTGGAAACCAAAAATAGGTTGCTAGTTGAGTTGTTAAAGCCCAGGAACTCCATGGTAGCAGATATGTTACTCGTTTCATGCATTGGACCAGCTAGATAGGTAGAGCTGTGGGGTCTCAGCACATGGATGAGATGGTGGTGGTTGGGAAGAAGGTTTTAGAATTGTTAGGCACTGGGGAACACCTTGGAACATGGTGAGTCTTGTTCCTCTCGAACTGCATTGGAGCCGGAGGTACAGTACTTAATATCAAAAAGGTTGTAAATCACCCTTTTGTGAAACTGATTTCTGGGGGAAGGCCAGCCAGAGGTGGGGAACACCCAGTTCAAGACAGCTCACCTTTAAGGAATGTGGTTATAAATGTTCTAGGTGACCTAAATGGGGTTAAGGTTGAGCTTGGAAAGGAGCAAAGGGGAAACAGATGCAATGTATTTGTTAATAATCTTGGTAGGCCAGCTGAGCGCTTGGTGCTAAATGAGGACGTAGATAGAGATGTTGATTGAGAGAATCAACAGGATGCAGTTATCCATGGAGAGAAGGTCTATAGTGAGGACTGGGAAGGGCATTTGGGGAGAATGTTGCTCTAGATGTCAAAGAGAATCCAAAGAAGAAAACTTAAGAGTCCTTTCCAGGGGTGCGCCACCCGTGGTGAGTGTGTCCCGGGGTGGCACAGTGATGTCACCCCCCCTCAGGGATGACACCCAGGGCAGACCACACCCACCTTGCTCCACCTCTGGCACCGTCAGGCCTGATCCATTCACCAGTTCCATGGTGATACAGACAGCTGAATGCCATCATATAACATCAGTCAGACCAGTTTAGGGTCCAGCAGATCCAGTGCTGGTTTAGTCCTGCCCCCTTCCCACCCTCAAAATGCCCAATTTCAGGACTTTCCACTGGTCTCTATTGGCAGGGATACGACTAGTGGAACTGCTGGCCACATGTTTAGAGGACAGAAGGGGTAAGTGGGCAGCAGTCAATAGAGTAAGGGAAGAGTCTCTGTTCAATCCAAACATCCCATAGCACATAAAGCAGATTTAGATTGCTCTGTCCATCTTGAATGGTGTTCAGAACTAGGAATACATGATAGGATGATTGGGAATCATGACCACTGTGTTATCAAATCACATCAGGACTGGTTTATGTTGTATCCATCACAAAATAAGATTATTATTTTTTAAAAGAGAACTACATATCCACATAAAGTTGAAGAAAATGAAAATGAACTTTACACGGACCAGAACAAAACTATATATATAAAAGCATAAAGCAAGTTAACATTCTAAATTCTGCTGGTGACACACAGCATTCTTCTTTAAAGATTGTCCCATCTCCTACCAAACTCAATCTATGCGTAAGTGGGAATTTGCCCAGAAAGTGCAGAACAGTCACATCTGATTTCAAAAGAGGAAACGTGCTTTAAAATTAAATGGAAGCTGAAAATATGAGTTGGCAAGACTCTCCAGGGTGCTTGGAATTAGTTAAAATGATGGTCACAGAAGCTAAAATAGCATGACATTCACATATTAAGACAGGCACAAATAAGTTCAAGAGGATGTCAGTATGGCTAATGAGCAGAGTCAAGATGAAAGGCTAGAAGTCTTCCTTTAAAAATAGAAGGTTGCCCCAAATGAAAGAACAAAAAACAAAACAAAAAAGGCACCAATTCTGGTAAGCAATGAAGCGGGCAAGTTGGAATATGTCATCAAATTATGCAATACAGGGAAAGCCCAAGAAGACCACAAAGAAATCTAAAAGGATCTCTCTAAACTGGATGAATGGGCAACAAAATATCAAATGAAGAACCAGATAAATAGGTGTAAAGTGATGCACACTGGGGCAAATAATTCTGGGTTGGATTCAGCTCACATTGAAAAGTTGCTCATCATGACCCCACTAATTACAATGGGACTAAGTTCATCTAACTTTCCCTGGATCTAGCAAATGTGCTGATAGGGTCTGAACTGGCAGTGGGAACCCAAGAAAAGGATCTTGGGGTCAGGTGGGTTGATGGATAACTAAACAAAAACATCAACTCAGCGTGCAGTACAGTAAAGGCAAATTCCATTCCAGGGGTTGTTATTTAAAAAGGGAAGGAAATTGAAGCTATCTGCATTGCAAACCCTATTCCCGGTTTACAGCTCACAGGGAAGAGGGATTGACTGCTAAAGCACTCTGGGAATTGTAGTTTTGTGAAGGGGGAAAGGGGTCTCCTAACAGCTCTCAGCTCCCTTTAAAATACCATGGTTCCCAGCATAGGCACCAGCTCCAGGGGGCCGAGGTACTTGTGGCCCCCCATGTTTTTTTAGGGGCAGGCCCCATCAATGTTCAGAGGGCGTTCAGCCCCACCCCGACTCCTTGTGACGTCACACGACGGCAGGACATTGCGCAACGTCGCATGCGCAACGTCAGGACGTTGTGTCAGGCTCCCTCCAACATCATGAGAAGTTGGCGCCTCTGGTTCTCAGAATTCTTTGAGGGAAGCCATGTCAGTTTAAGGGGGGATCATAGAGTTTTCAATATATGGTGCGAATGTGGCCCTCCCAGTTAACAGAGGGAAACATAAACAAAGCAACCTTTGGACCACCATGTTTTGGAATCTGCCATACTGCAGATTCTGAAGTGGGCAATTGCTCCAATCCAGGTCACGATCCGTCTGGTTTGGGTGAAGTGACACGTGTGCCTCTGGCCTCCCAAGATCTCGACGCTGCTCCACACAAATTTCCATCTGTTGCTTGAGGTACCCAACCCAGCTCTGCCTTAACTGTAGGGCGCCCCCTGCCCCCCCTTGCCCAAACAGGGCCTTCTCTTAGGTTCGCAAGGTTCCCAGCTATTACAATAACACCATCTCTGTTAAAAAAGAACCGGCAGGAAAAGGGGGACCGGGGGGGGGAGTAGCCATTTCATTTGCTGCTGTTCCTCCTCACCCCATGACTCACCAGAAATTTAGCAGTTAGTTAGAGCATGTTACTTCCACTTGTACAGTCATGTGTGACTAATTTCTGACTAATAGGTTTTTCTGTCTCCCAGGAGACGCTAAGTTTCCAGAGCTTTCAGGTTACCCATTTCGCACTGACTGAGCAGCTGTGACAGAAGGGGAGAGTCCCTGAAAATGGCTGTGGTGAGGGGTGAGAGAGGGGCTGTTTCTCTGATTCGTAGGCTCCCTCGTGCCATCCCCCCCCCCATGAGCCGTTATTTCTGTTTCAGCCATGATGGTTTAAGCTCTCATGAGAAGTTGTAGTCCCAAATCTCCGGATGGGCACCAGGTCGAGGAAGCCCTGAACACTCCTCAAATCCTTTATCCTTAGCGTTCATAGGACGCGAGGCAGAAAGCAGCACAGAGATTTCTGAATTTTAAAGCTAAGCAGTTGCGGGCAAATCAGTCGATGAAAAATGCATTTGTTAAACAAGACAGCTATGACAAAGAAGGGTGATTCGTCACCAACGGAAACAAAAATCCAATACACAACATAATCTTTTTTTAAAAAAATGAAAACCATTGCTGTTCTCCTTGGAGTGCTCCAGCAGTGGTGGAGCCAGCGATGAGGTGTGCTAAGTGGTGTCAGGGCCACAGTGGATCGATGGGGTACTAAATCCCCTGCTCCCCCAAATTCCTTATAAATAGGTTTGGAGCTGCATCAAAACTTGAGCTGAGGACTCCGTTCCCTCCAATGGGGCATTGGATGTGGCAGCTGCATCTTCACAGAGTTCACAGAAATCAATGGAACAAGTTCATCATGCCTTACCTGAAGTGCCATTGATTGTCCCCCCGTTATTTGGGGAGGGATTTGTAATAAAATGGCATATGTGGTAGAGGTACCTCTGGGTAAGAAACCTGAAAAAATTCAGAAGGATGGGTGTAGGGGCTGAGGAATTATTCTGATAGAAGTTTTTTTTTTTTAGGCTTCCGTTTTTGCTTCTCGTTTAATTGATGACAACTGATAAGGATCTTTCCAGATCCCTCTGAAATGCACTGTATAATAAAGTAAAATAAAAATGAGAACCCTGTGAAAGTTTTCCTTATATGGAAAGCGTGCAGAGAAATTTATTAAGTTATGCCTCTGTCTTTGTGTCCCTCTAATTTGTTCCCAAAACTCTAGGAAGAGCTTGATTGTGTTCAGGCTACTTTGGAGCACATCCACTTTGCTTCTGGCAAGCCCTGAATTTAAATTGTTCTCATGTGTTTTATTATTATATATATTTATTATGAGCTACCTTGGGCTCCCCTTGGGGAGAAAGGGCAGGTTATAAATTAGAAATAATCAGTTGATCAGTATTTTCATTTGGTGGGGATATATTTTTAAGACCCCATTTATGTGCATTCAAATTTTTGTGTACATGGAAAGATGGGTACCGTAATTATGGAAACAGGGCCATTCTATTTCATTCACAGGTTCTCACTTTGTACATCACCTTTGTTTCCAAAATATGAGTGCAAAGAGAAAGAACGTATGAATATTAGCCACTGGCATCAGACCAGTAGTCCAGCTACTTACATTATTGTCTAAGCTGGCTGGCAGTGGCTCTGTGGGGTTTAAGACGGGGTCTCTCCCAGCCCCGACCTAGATGTGCCAGAAATCAAACCTGAGTCTTTTGCACGAAAGCAGATGCTCTACTACTGAGCTACAACTCTTCTGTCTAATGTGCATTGGCTGGGAAAGGCCCTTACAGCTGCTACATTGAAGAGTAAACAGCCTAGACCTAGACAGATCAGTCATCTGGCTTGATACCAAATGGCTTTCTAAACGAGTCCCCCTCATTCCACCACATTACAAGGTTGTGGGAGTAGGCTGTGGTTAGTCAGTGTCAAGGGAAGTCACTCGGCACACATCAGATGATTTTCCTATTGCTTCGTTGTGCTCTCCCAAAGCTGACCACAAATACAGAAGCGGCTCTGAGAAGCTCAGAGAGCCAAAACTCTGAAATTGTTGGCATCCGTCTGCCTCATGAGACAAGGGGGGTGAAGTCAAACTGCTGTTTTAGCAGCACCAAAGTGACCTCCCCAGGGTGTCACCCCGCTCTCGGCCTCCAAAGGAAAGCGCAGCAATATGTTTGGCACCAGCTTGGCTGCAGGAGTTGCCGGAAGCAGGCATACAAGGCGCCATCCAACCATCTTAGGGACTCCACTCTGGATTTTTGTAGGGTTTACTTCTTAGCATAGGTGCCAACTCCCTGGGGTCCTGGGTTCCCGAGCATCCACAAAATTCCCCATGAAGGCGCTGGGCATCCACAAATTTCTCCTGGTGTGCCCCGGGGAGGACCTTAAGGTCCACAAATAACAACACTTTGGAGGTTCCAAGCCACAAAGTGGTTAGATTGGTCTCAACTAGGGCCAGGGCCTTTTCAGTACTGGCCCCGACTTGGTAAAACGCTCTGTCACAAGAGACTAGGGCCCTGCGGGACTTGACATCTTTCCGCAGGGCCTGCAAGACAGAGCTGTTCCGCCTGACCTTTGGTTTGGACTCAGTCTGACCCTTATGCTTCCCTCCCCTTATGGTCTTGATTTATCAGCTACTTTAAAATGAGGCTGCATTTTAAATTGCATTTTGACCTGTATTTTAAATTGGGTTTTTTCCTTTTCTTTCCCCCCTTTCCCCCCAAGCTGACGAGACCCATCTGAAATTAAACCCTTGATATTAGGTACCAACTGGGTTTGTTGTTTAGTCATTTAGTCGTGTCCGACTCTTCGTGACCCCATGGACCAGAGCACGCCAGGCACTTCTGTCTTCCACTGTCTCCCGCAGTTTGATCAGACTCATGTTTGTAGCTTCGAGAACACTGTCCAACCATCTCGTCCTCTGTTGTCCCCTTCTCCTTGAGCCCTCCATCTTTCCTAACAACAGGGTCTTTTCCAGGGAGTCTTCTCTTCTCATGAGGTGGCCAAAGTATTGGAGCCTCAGCTTCAGGATCTGTCCTTCCAGTGAGCACTCAGGGCTGATTTCCTTCAGAATGGATAGGTTTGATCTTCTTGCAGTCCATGGGACTCTCAAGGGTCTCCTCCAGCACCATAATTCAAAAGCATCAATTCTTCGGCAATCAGCCTTCTTTATGGTCCAGCTCTCACTTCCATACATCACTACTGGGAAAACCATAGCTTTTACTATACGGATCTTTGTCGGCAAGGTGATGTCTCTGCTTTTTAAGATGCTGTCTAGGTTTGTCATTGCTTTTCTCCCAAGAAGCAGGCGTCTTTTAATTTCATGGCTGCTGTCACCATCTGCAGTGATCATGGAGCCCAAGAAAGTAAAATCTCTCACTGCCTCCATTTCTTCCCCTTCTATTTGCCAGGGTAGGGACCATCAATTGGAGCACAAGTAGTGAGAGAACAAGCATTATGTGGCTTTCAGAGCAGTGGGTGGCTAACCTGTGGTCCTCCCAGGAGTTGCTGGACTACAACTCCCATCATCTGTGACCACTGGCCATGCTGATGGGGTTGATGGGAGCTAGAGTCCAAAACCGTCCATAAGGCCACCAGTTAGCGACCCCTACTTCCGACAAGAGGGACAGGCTTTCTCTTAAAAAGAACTAAGTAGTGTATGCTGAGAAAGGCAGAAGATTTTGTGGTGGGAAAGTGACCCCTACTGGCCAGATCTGAGAGCTACAGGTCTTCACAGACTGCTGTCTTTGATTCCTTCAACATTGCCCCCAATTGTCATTCAGGCTGCAAGCCTATTTCAGGGGTAAGCTGTGAGGGTACCCTCCATACTTTATGGACAATGAACTCCATCAGTCTCAGCCACAATGGCCTACAGGCAAGGATGATAGGAGTTATAGTCCAAAACTTTAGGAGGTTAGCATGTTGGAAATGTCATGCAAAAAGCAAAAATGAAATGGGGGTGGGGGTGGGAAGCAGACAGTGATGATAATCTGAAACCAGAATAGTTACAGTCAGTGCTTTTTTCTTTTTTTAAAAAAAAAAAGTTTACTCATTTTTCTACTCATATCGAAATACCGCCCCTCAATGAGGCCAAACTTAGATTCACAAAATGTTTAGGGGTATGTGTACCCCTGCGTCCCCCCAGAAAGCACTGGTTACAGTGAACAATTAATAGGGCAGGATTGGTGGAAGCATTGATAAGCCAAATAACACATGTAGAGGAGTAACATTTCAATTCATGCCACAGGTGACCGAATTGAATTGCCTTGTTGTTGCTAAGTAGCTGTGGGGGCCGCTGTCTGTAAGTAGAGGCCTACAAGTAGGAAATGTAGGCCTACAAGGACCAGAATGGATTGACATGTACTGATTTAACGGGCTATCCTCTTCTTCTGTGATATCATTGCCCATGCACCCTCGAATGAAGGCACAATAGGTTGTTGGGCATAAGATCACTGTTATGTACTGAAGTTCTCACCCTGGGCCAGCAGGGGGATACTGTAGATAGTTATGCAAATGAAGGATCAAAAGTGACTTTCAGTGATTAGATAGTTTTAGAAAGTTGCTACAGTAACATTGTACTGGAGCTCTATATAAGCAGGCTGACTGAGCCCTTCAGTTCAGTTCTGTTCTGGCCTCTGAATAAACAAGAGCTGTTTGAAGAATCGCTGTGTCGTCACCCACAACTTAACAATCACAACAATGTAATAATAATAATAATAATAAATTTTATTTATACACTGCCCTCCCCAGCCAAGACCAGGCTCAGGGCGGCTAACAACCAATAATAAAAACAAGTTGATTAAAATACAACTTAAAAACAAGATTAAAATACAACATTAAAACATTAAAATGCAGCCTCTTCACAGGAGGAGAAAGGAAAAAAGAAAGAGGGGGAGGGAATCAAATTGATTCTAAGCCAAAGGCTAGGCGGAACAACTCTGTCTTACAGGCCGTGCGGAAAGAAATCAGATCCCGCAGGGCCCTGGTCTCATGAGATAGAGCGTTCCACCAGGCTGGAGCCAGAGTTGAAAAGGCCCTGGCTCTGGTTGAGGCTAATCTGACTTCCTTAGGGTCCAGGACCTCTAGGGTGTTGCTATTTATGGACCTTAAGGTCCTCTGTGAAGCATATACTCCATATATACTCTGTGGGGTATACGGGATCTGCAACAAGGTACTACTAACTAAAACATGTCCTTCTAGTGGTGCAACGATAAAAAATCATCTTCTGAGGCCCTTCTTTGTGTGCCTCCTCCTTGAGAGGTCTGGAGGGTGGCAACACAAGAAGGGGCCTTCTCTGCAGTGGCTCCCCGTCTGCGGAATGCTGTCCCCAGGGAAGTTCGCCTGGCACCTTCATTATACACCTTTGAGTACCAGGCAAAAACATTCCTTTTTAACCAGGCCTTTGGTTGATCTGATTGACATCTTTTAAAAGATGGCTCTTTTTTGAGGGGTGGGGTGTGTTACTGGGTGGTTGCTTTTATTTTGATTATATATATTGTGGGTTTTTATGTTGATCTTTTCTGTGAACTGCCCTGAGACCCCCGGGTATAGGGTGGTATATAAATTCAATAAATAAAATAAAAAAACGAGCACATTTGAAAAGCTAAGCAGGATACAGCACGGTTTCAAAATTGGATGGAGGACACAAGTTGAGATACCTGCATTGCAGGGGGTTGGACTAGATGACCCTCAGGATCCCAGTTCTATGATTCTATGAACCCTACGGTGAAAGGGCCAGGAGGAGTTCTTGCCCCTGACCAGCCAGTGTGGTGTAATGGCCAGGGTGTTGACCTAGGACCTGGGAGACCGTGGTTCAAATTCCCACTCAGCCATAGGAGCCAACTCCTAGGGGCCAAGGTCCCTTCGACTCCCCCAATTAAAATATTTGAGGGGCCTTCCCCCCCCCAAGTTGATGGGCATTGCCATTCAAATGGTGAATGTGCATTGCGTCTTGTGATCGATTTATTCAAGTTGGCATCCTTGCACTCAGCCATATAGCTCAATGGGTAAGCAAGGGCTAGGTACAATCTCTCAGCCTAGCCTACCTCACAGGGCTGTTGTGGGGATTCAGTGAGGAATGGGGGACCATGTACACCACCACCTTTGAGCTCTTTGGAGAAAAATGTGGGGT